ACCCCCATCTTTGTCCTTTCCTCCCTCCACTGGCTTCAGTCCCCGGGCTCCCAGACACCACCTACACCCCAGGCATCTCCTCACCTCTCCCAGCCGCCGGATCTCATGCTGCTTCTTGGGCCTGACATGTTTTCGGAACGGAGCTTTAAGTCGGGAGCTCTGGCTGGGATTCTCCCGAAACTCTGAGGGGGCCTGAAACTTAGGTGTCCGGGTAAAGGCCAAGGCATAGGCTGTGGACTTCAGGGCCAGCAGGGTGAGTGGCCACACTGACCTGTACCTGAGAGAGCCCGGCCAGAACCCCAGTGAATCGTCCCATTGTGTCCTGGGTGAACCCATTTACAGCCCAGGAATCCCTTGTGAGACCCTCTGAGCAATGACTGGTGACAGGGTTCAGTGCCAAGTCCCCCAGTACAGGGCCCCCTTGCCCATACCTGACCACCTCCCCTTCCCCAGGCATCCCCAGCAGCTGTGTGGCCAGTTGTGGTGGGTTCAGTCCGTCCAATGCTTCCTGCCATGAGCAAGGGAGTGTGCCCCACAGGTTGTCTGTAAAAAATTCCTGCAGAGGGTAGAAGCAATTAGCAGACTCCTACCTTTCCCATGCTTTCCACCCCACTCTCAACACAGGGCCACTGGCTGCAACCAGCAGGTACCTACTACGCACCCGAGCTACCTCTTCTCTAAAGCCCGCCCCAGCCTCCACTCCTTCCTCAGAGCCCAGACTGCATTCTGAACACACCTCTCCTTTTAGCAATTTCCCACTTATGTGTCTGTTTTCTCCATTCACCTGAGTGACGAACCTAGAGAAGGATGGTGCCTTCTCTACAATCCCATCCACACCACCACAGTGACTAACATGCAGTGTTAGTATGCTACCATTTAGTAACCTACCCGTGTATATGTGAGACACTTGATATGCCAGAATGTATTTTTATTCATTCATTTGTTGAACACAAATTCTGGAGTTTTGGGTACGCACCACATTCTATTCTAGGCTCTGAGGACACAACAATGAACCAGACAGACAAAATTCTTACTCTTGCACAGTTCACATTAAAAAGAAATGTTTTTCAGATCATCAAATGACACATGGATAAGAAAACACTAACAAAATAGTAGGAGACATTGAGACAGTACCACTTTAGGTAAGAGTAAGGAGGAAAAGACTTGAGTTGACACTTGAGCTGAGACTTGAATGATGAACAGCAAACAGGCATGTAAAAAAAATTATGTAATAACAAATACTTATTAAATACTTATAATATGCCAGGCACTGTTCTAAACATTTTATTTATACACACACACACACACACACACACACATTTAATCCCCAAAACAACCCTATGAGGTAGGTACCATTTTTTATCCCTCATTTTACAGATAAGAAAACTAACACATAAGTAACTTGCCCAAATCAAAAAGCAAAAAGCTAGTATCAGAGCTGAGATTTGAAATCAACCTGACTTTAGAATTCTTGCTTTTAACCATTCTACTCTATAGCCTTTCTGCTGAGGATAATCATTCCAGGCAGATCTGTAAGAGCAAAGACCCAGATGTCTGCCATATTTGTGGAGCAAAACTCAGGCCACTAGAGGTATAGTACAGTGAATGTGGGAGAGAATGAAATGTGACAGGATTCAAGAGACAGCAGGGGACAATCCCATAGGGCTTCATGGGTAGCACAGGTATTGGTAAAGAGTTAGGATTTCATCAAAACACCTAGGAAGCAAGGGACTGCCATGATCAGATTTTTATTTTAAAGAGATTAATCTGGCTGCTTGTGATGAGTTGATTATGGAGGGGCTGAAGTAAACACAGAGATTAATTAGGAAGCAGTCAGGAGAGGTGATGGTGAGTTGGTCCAGGGTGGTAGCAATGAAATGGAGACAAATGGGTGAATTTGGTGGTATCTTTTCTAGAGGTAGAGCCAACAGGAATTGTTGAAGGATTGGACTGTAGATCGGTGAAGGAAAGAGCTGAATCAAGAATGGTTTCTGGGTTTAGTGGCTGAACAATTCAGTGGATGCTGGTGCCACTAACACATCATCTCATTCATTCTTCACAAGGACCCTTCAAACAGGAGTCCATGTTACAGCTGGGCAACCAGGGCGAGGAGGAATTTTCATTTCATGCCTACGTAAGTTAACACAGCAGGGGAGGCAGGATTCTAGTTGGAGCCTGCCTAATTCTAAAGTTTAAATTGTCCATTACATTACAAAACCAGGGATTTATTCAAAGCGTGGATGAACGAACTTGTGTGTTCTGGGAATACCTCACACGCTCCTGGGACAGTTCAACGTAGCTGCAAGAATGCGTTTTATCACTTTGGATTTGGAAAAATAACCTAGATGTTAGAAATATGAATGTGTCATCTGCAATAAAACAAAAAAGGAAGAAGCTCCCCCGTTTTAACCCCTTCTTGTAACGACAGACTGAAAATCATGAAAGAAAAGAGATGAGATGCTAACTCTCCAGATCAGTGGTTCTCAACCCTCCTAATGCTGAGACCCTTTAATACAGTTCATGTTGTGGTGACCCCCAACCATAAAATTATTTTCGTTGCTACTTCATAACTGTAATTTTGCTGCTGTTATGAATCGTCATGTAAATATCTGATAGGCAGGATGTATTTTCATAATTGTTACAAATTGAACATAATTAAAGCATAGTGATTAATCACAAAAACAATATGTAATTATATATGTGTTTTCCGATGGTCTTAGGCGACCCCTGTGAAAGGGTCATTCGACCCCCAAAGGGGTCGCGACCCACAGATCGAGAACCGCTGCCCCAGATGCTCTCCCTGTCGCGGGCACCCAGCCAAGCACACAACCAGGAGCATCCAGTCCCCAACCCCGTGGCCTCACAATGATGTAGGCGTCCAGGATGGAACGGTAGAGAGACAGCACCCGCGTGAGATTCACAGCTAGCTGCCTCCTCTCCTCGAGAGAGAGGCCCCGGGCGGAAACGCCTGGCATCCGAGCCGGTCGGCGGCGCCTGGAGCGAGAACGCGGTGAGGACGGAAGCAGGGTCAGCACCACGCGGATCCAGAGCCCGGGCTGGGTCAGCTCTGCGGGCGGGGCGAGAAGAAAGCGCTCAGCATTGGCCCGAGACGCTGCCTCTTCCAAGTTCCAGATGGAGGTTCAAGATCCGAGGCGTCCTCCTGACATCACAGGTCGCGACGTCCACAGCGCGAAGCTGTCAGCACGGAAAACAAGTGGAGTGCCCGGCTGT